TTAAGGGAAATGTAAACTCTTTCCCTCCTCCTGCACTCCAGTTCTGTTGTCAGGTAGCCACCCAAGCACTGGCATCCACTTGCTGGTACTCAGTGTGTAAACACTGTGAAACATCCTCTGACAGAGGGATCAGGCACACCATTCATCAGTTACACAGCTTCAATGTCTGCATCACAATTTTGTCTCATTCCTTTCCCAAGACATCTGAGTGTTCAGGTTTTACATGATCATAAATGCTACATTTTCCTAATGCTGCACTAAATTTTTAATACTGCAGCTGTGACAAATCAAATGAAGCAGCCTCATCTGCATGTCCAGAGCAGGATTTAATAACTAGACATCTGTGCAATCATTTTCTGTTTTCTTTACTCTAGACTGGATGGTCTGATTTGCTTACTCTCTCCAGGATGTAGAAATACACTATACTGTTAATTAAGGTTTTAAAATAAAAGCAATTAAACCTGGTACAAGGAAATGCAGCTTCATTCAGAGAATGTAATTGGAATAGAAAAGAAATTAGAGAGATGCAGCATAAAAATCAGAAATGGAACACGTGGATCTCTACCTATCACTAACATTTCTCCACATATAAAAAAAATTATCACAGATTTATAACAGGTTGCAGTCCTGGTAATAGCAAGATTAAGAAAAATAATAACCTGAAAATAATTAAATTCAAGCCTTTACTGAAATACCAAGAAGCTCTTCAGGATATCACAGCTGGAAATGTGTTTCACTACAGAAAATTGGGATAAGACTACAAAACCAGAAGTTTTGGAGAAGAATACATGAGCCAGACTAAGATATTTTACAGAAAGTAAACATGAATTATTACTCAATCAGCAGTGGCCAGGAAATCTTCCTGACATGCTAGAAAAACACGCAGAAACAGCTATTCTAGGTGTATGATGAGATTTTTGTAATTAATTACTGAACACTGTCTCAGGGCTGGGGGGTGGCTGTGGCAGAGTGGAAAGCAGATTAAAAAGGGAATCCTTTATCCCTACATGGCCCTGATAATGATGGGAAATGCAGAACTTAGAGCTGCATGCATTGTTGGTTTTTATGTGGCAGCAAACCCAGATGATGCTGGGTTGTGTTGATGCTCTGAGAGCCAGGGTTGCCTAGCAAGCCGTTTGTGAAAAGGAAGGACTGGCTCCATGCCCTGCAGCTGAGGATGCTGTGCTGGGCTTTTCTGACCACAGCTGTCCTGAGCAACCCCTACCAGCACTCAGCAAGAACTGCCTGTTTGGGAACTTGAAGGAGTAAGCTGCAGAGATGCATGCTGATGGGGGATGATTCACAGATGGGTATTTCTGATTTTATTTTCCTCATCACTAAAGGGGATGATGTTCACACTTGTCTTTTGTGTCCTCCCTTGCCCTAATCTGCCTGCTTATGCTACTGGGCAGCACTCAGAAACCTCCATATGCAGAACCCACCACATTCAGGGCTCACTGGCTACTCTGTGCTCCAGCTCTGATACTCAAGCACTAACCTAGAACTTAAGATGTGTTTCTAAACTATGTCAGTTCACAGCAACAACTGCTACATTTTATACTCCCTCTAGTAGAAGAGTTGGATATAGGCAAATCCTGCATTTTAAACACTTCTGGAGTCATATGTGAGACTCAACCTATGGAAAATATCCAAAGTTAATGCTTTGCCCAATGTTTTCTGCAGGGTAATTCTTCTCTAACTAAACCCAGAATTCTTTCCTATCTTTTCATTTATTGTGCCATGCAACAGCTGCTTTTGTAGTGAAACAATACCTTGATACAACCAAGAAAAAACCAGGAGTGCTGGAGACATTTGCTTTATTTGTTTTAGCACTGCATTTTGTGAAACTCTCAGAAAAGTTACCTTTTTCATTCTGAGATTACATAAATTATTTCTGCAAACAACTCAGGCTTGATTTATCTGCTGTGATCTAGGCCTGCTTCAAGATGTTCAAAGTGTAAGACAGAGGAAGGCAACAAAGCTGTTTTGAAGTGTGATGGACTGTTCAGATGGTGGGGAATTACAAAATACAGTAACATGAAATAAAACCAGGACTTTGCTTAGTAGGGGAATGGACATCAGTGGGACCTGCCTTTAGCATTCCAAAGGATGCATACCTGTGAATAGCAGTGAGGAACTGGTGAACAAAGCTTCTAAGGAAAATAAGTGTTAGGTTAAAAATTTGCTACAGCTATTGGTGATTTATCAGAGTACAGGAAACCTGTTGAATTCCCTGTCTCAGACATCAGTGTTCAGTGACTGACTAGATGTTTCTGATGGCTGAGTTAATTTTAAGAGTGCTGATAGCTCTTTTTAGGCATGCTGAGATGATCATTCAGACAAATCAAGCCTCAATCTTCTCCAAGAGAGCAAATCAGGGGTCAAGAAGGAAATCCTCCTCTTGGACTTGCAGTGAATTGCTGGCTCACAACAGCTCATTTCTGTGAAACTGCAAGCACTGCCCATTGCCTGGGACAGTCTTCTGGAATAGGTAAATAATCCACTTCATTAATTTTGTGATCTGTGATGCAGCAAATTGTATATTCCTAGGTTTTGCCTTCCTATTTGGTTTTAATAAAAGTAATATCACTGTGGTACACAGAATTACAGAAGTGTCCTTTTATATCATTGAGTTCAACTATTAATTCAACACTATCAATTTCATAACCAAACCAAACCATGTCCCTAAGTGCCACTTTTAGGTGTCTTTTCAATATCCAGGAATGGGGACTGCACCACTTCCCTGGGCAGCCTATTCCCCTGCCTGACAACCCTTCCCTGATATCCAATCTAAACCTCCTCTGGCACAGCTCGAGGCCATTTCCTCTCCTCCTAGCTCTGAGAAAAGATACCAACACCCACCTGGCTACAGCCTCCCCTCACAAAGAGCAATGAGGGCCCCAGGAGCCTCCTTTTCTTCTGACTATACACCCCCTGCCACCATGGCATTTTTTGAAAAATCCTCTTTGCCCAGGATTTTCTCCTGGGAAGCTGAGAAGCCTCAGGGAGGAAGGAAAACAATAATTATCTGATGGCTGCTCCTGTGTTTGCTGCTTTGGAATGTGGCTTGGGCATTGTTTACCAACAGGTGAATGTTTGATTGGTTCCATGTGAATTGTTTTAATTTAATGGCCAATCATGGTCCAGCTGTGTTGAGGCTCTGAGGAGTCTCAAGTTTTTATTATTATTCATTCTTGTTAAGCCTTCTGATGTATCCTTTCTCTTTCTTTAGTATAGTTTTAGTATAGCATTCTAGAATAGAATAGAATAGAATAACAGCATAGCATATCATAATAAATCAGCCCTCTGGGAACATGGAGTCAGATTTTCATCTCTCACCTCGTCCTGGGGACCCTCACAAACACCACATCCTCATCTCCCTCAGCCTCGTGCTCCAGACCTGTCACCAGCTCTGCTGCCCTGCTCTGGGCACCTCCCAGCATCTCCATGTCCTGCTGACAGTGAGGGGTCCAAACCTTTACACATTCACATCCTGCAACTGCAGCTCATGCCTAGGAGCACCTCACTGCCTTGTTCTTTCTCTTTTTCTCTCCATGGATGAAAATATTGTCCTAATATAGCACAAGTGATGTGAGGAACACAACTTCACATTGCTATTTACCAGCCTTAGCATAGGTTATACCTAGGTACTCTTCTTCAGCCAGATAAATGAGAAACTCCTTTCAGCACAACTAGGAAACCCAAGATTTTTATCTCTTTCCCAGACATGTTAACAGACTTCCAAAGGTTTATGGGGTTTAGATGAGATTATTTGTGAGAAATAACTCCCTTGGAAAAAAAAATACTGAATGATGATTTTATTTCGTTTGTGTGGGTGTTGTATTTAATTAATCTAAGTTCTCTAATCTGAATGCTTCATAAGAAGGAGGCTTCATGCATTTTAACCCAGAAACTGAACTACTTGCATTATCATTATATGCTTATGATTAAACCAGTCTCTAGGGCCTAAGAAATAAATTGAGTGCAAAGTGAAGAAAATTAGGAAATGAATTTGCACCAGTATTTCAATTGATCTGCATATTCTAACATGGAATTTAGGCTGAGCTCCTTGGGACTCTGATCATAGTGTCTAGTTATTGAAAATGGCTTTTTCACCACTAACCACCACAAATCTGCATGCCAGCACCTGACATGGCAAAGTTCCACTGTGTTAAACTTACCTTGGGAAAAACTCATCTTTCTTTGAAAAACAGAATTTGACTGTCTTTGGCTTCCAACCATTGGAACCTGTTTTGTCCTCAGGGTATAGGTTAGCCTGAAGCCAAAACAGGTTCCAGTGGTTGGAAGTGTTCCACTGTGGAAGCACTGAGATGCCTTGAGTCACCCTGCTGTTTCCTCTTAGCTAAACCAGAGTGATCTCCCTAAGTGTTGGAGCACCTTTTCCAGCCCCAGAACTTGTGTGGATTCTTTACTCTCCCTCATGTTTCTAAATCAGTTAGGAATGCAGACACCAGGCCTGGCCTTAGTGTCCTATCAGCATTCTCATCCCTGTGAAAGCACCTCCCAGCCTTTCCTCGAGCCTCTTTCTGCCTCTCTCACACTCATGTGTAAAAGCCTGAGCCTTTTTACAAAAGAAACTGCAGAACTAGCTCATTATGAGGCTGTTAGCACCAATGAGCCACTACCACCATTTGTGACAGCTACTTCTAAAAGAAAACCAAACAGATTTCTGTTCCTCTTTCCTAAATAGGTTACTTTGCATTTGACTCCACTGAAATAACCTTTTTTTCCCACTCCCCATAACAGTGCTGTGCCTTAGGAGTTATTCATGGTGAACTCAGAAAATATAATACAAGTTTTGTACCCTACTGAGGTAGCTGACATTGGGATCAAAACTAAACCTGCACAGAGCTTCCTGGCTCTGTGCAAAGCAAGCGAGGATAAATCTGGTTCTGTTCTGCTAATAAACAGATTACTCACACTTCAACACAGAAACAGAGCTTTAAAACTTTCTGAAATGGCTGCTGGGCAAAAATTACCTGAGTAAATTGCCAGTAAAGCTTCATTCTCTTGGCTTTGGCATAATTGCATTCAATGAGCCTGGGCCTGCTGTTGACATCCACCAGGCATCTGTTGTCATCGTCGTCGATGGTGGGGCTCAGAACACCCACGTGGAGCTGCTGACTGCTCGTGTAATGAACATTCTGCAACAGGAAGCACAAACAGCATTTGTGGCCTCTACACAGAAGCAGCACTTTCACCCAAAAGCTAATGGCAAAGATAAATATGCTGAATAGGCTGACCCCATGGTGGCTTTGAAAGGATCTCCTTTCATGCAGGAAGCAAGACAACATTTTAAAAGTTGGTCTAAATTAACAATTAACTGCTTAAATATTGGTTAAGTATTTAAGAGGAAATATGCAAATACAACTGATTATTGTCTCATCATGGGACTTTTTCCTTCTGTTTCTGAGGGTCTTCAAAGAGGAAGATAGAGCCCCTGGGACTGGCTTGAATATGGCCATCAGCTCTGATTAGACTGTTTCATCTGAGGATAACACCTCACTGGAGAGGTAAAAAAAGAGAACAGCAGCACAGGAGTTCAGAGCATCTCCGTCTTTTATAGGACAGATACAAAGATAAATTAAGGTTTTCTGCAAACAAATGCTAAAATCCACACTTGAAGCAGATACTATAGAAAGAAGATATATATATATAGATACTATAGAAAGAAAAAGTTGTTAGCAACTGGTGACAGATACAGGCATGAGAGAGAACAGAATGGCCACATTTCAAGGCATTTGTTCTCATTTTACATTTTCTAAGTCCATACACACAGATACAAGAGACAAGGACAAGGGACAGACACTGGCTGCTCTGTATTTCTAGCAAAGAAGGGCCCTCAAAGGCCTCGGGGATTACACCTGGGACCAAAGACATGAGTTCATTATGTTATACAAATTCTTTCTACTCTGTTTGACTACAAAGATATGTGGAAGGTTTCTCTGGAAGAAAGGAAAGAAGGGGAAGGATGGAGGGGATATGTCCCCTTTCAGATTGGCAGGTTACGTGTAAGCCCAGGAAGGTAACACAGGATTATACCAGGACTGCCTGATTGCTAATCACAAATAGAATTTATTTTGCTACAATCAGACCTTTTTCTTGGAAGGACCATGAGAAAGATTAAAGGGAAACATCGTGCTCCAGGTTTTAAGTCTGTGGTAACTCAGTGGTGGCAGAGTCACAACAGACAAGAGTGGACAGAAGCACCAAATTAATGCCCCTGCCATTTACTGTAACTATTCTATTTGTCTGTAACAAAAGGGAAACTGGAAATTCTGCTGGGTGTAATTGGGAATCGTTTTGGTGCCCAGATTTTCCTGGTATTTGTTCATTGTTGGTGTTGTGAACTGTTTTATGTGTGAGTGTTCTCCTTTGTGAACACTCTGGTAAAATAAGAGAGAAAGCAGAAAAGCAGAACAAGCCAGGTCTGATGAAAGATTTCGGAGCTTCATGTAATAAATAAAATAAAATTTAAAAAAAATGGAATGCTGTAAGTAGTCAACTCAGGGATTGAATACAACCACAACAAATGGTGGTGTTCTGGGCAAGACTGTGTGCCCAGTTTACCCTCCTGTAGCACTGCCAGGGCAGATGTAACCTGCCAGAGCTGCACTCAAGTTAATTACGTTACCATTAATGGTTTAGACTAAGCCCAGGTTTTGCCCCCTTAATGAAGTTTCATTGTTCTCACCCCACAGAAACAGTAACAAGCTTGAGCTGGCTGAAGTGAGGTGAGTGGAAGTTTTAAGAGGTTGAACAGAGAAAAGCTCAATAGTTTAGTCATGCCCCACAGGAGGAGAGCAGGGTAATAAAGGAACTGGCAGAGCACATTTCCAGAATGGATGGTTATGACTGAAGTAAACTCTAAGAACTATAACAAGATCACTCTGCATCCACAACTCAGGTTATTAACATTCCTGCAAACAAAACTGATGCCTTAGAAAACTGTTAAACATGAAGAATGCACTTTCTAGACAGGCCCAGAGCAACTATTTTAGACATGTATATGATCTAGTTAGACATTTTTTTTTTTTGGAGAAACTGAGGTAGTGACCGAGCAAGGCTAAAAGGTCAAGATGATCTTACAAAGGGATTGTTAGGACACCCTACAGATGAACCTTTTCTTGCAGCTCGTTTACCTCTTACCTGAAATTACGACTAGAAAACATAAAGGGAAATTGTTGGTTATTTAAATCTTTAACTAAGAGGAAGGGATATTCCATTTCAGCATGTTGTCACTACAGAAAAGATGATGTAAGAACATAAAGGGGGGTTGCATTGTTTTCTTAATTACACATATCAGTTGCTGAAAACAGATGAGCAGGCTTGGCTGTAACTCTGAGAAGTGCATTCTGTGGCCTGAGGTCTGCACAGAGAAGGCAGTGTGCCTGCAAACCCTCGTGGCTGAGCTGCTTTTATCAGATTACAAAATTAGAAGTACTCATTAAAGATGCCCCAAAGTTAAAAAAACAGTCAGTGTAAATTAATTACTACTGTGGATACAAACTAATTAGTTACCAGTATCTTTGAAATATATTTTTGGGAACAATTTATTGTAAAATCTTGTCATCCTTTGTCATTACCATTAATTGTTTACTGATAAAAGTAATGAGCCTGATGTTCTACAGACAAGCAGGAATAAACTATTTGCATTTCATACCATAATCATTTTGAATCTGCATTTTTATTTTGGTATCTGGACAGGTGACTGCAGAAAGGACAGAGAGAGTGTCAGACACAAAGATCACTGAAATCAAGGCTCATATTTCTAGTTGCTATCAGTGGCTTTTTCATCACACCCTAGAAGTTTTTGGATTGTCGTGCACATTTGTTACTGGGTATCTGCCTCTGCAGAGCTAGAAACTGTACCCACTGGATGGAATATGTTAATATTTATTTAGGTAATATCTCCACTGAATTCAGTTAACCTTTACTAAATATGTCTGATCATCACACAATCCTGTCATACGTACTTTCAGGTAAACTTATTTATTTGTATGGAAGAACAGCCTTTTTTCATAACCAAGCTGACAGATTAATGTGAAACTCTAAGTAACCTACAAAAACACCCCCTCACAATCTAAAAGGCTTTTTAAAAGAAAAATAAAAGACTTTAACATAACTAGAGCTGCTCTTCAGTTTTAATATGTAAATTATCCCTTAAATCTAACTTTTGAAGTCATCATTAATTGCCTCACAGGCCTCATTTTACATTAATTGTGCCTTCATAGAACACTCTTATTGAAAACCTAATCCATGTAAAGATTCTTCACAAATTAAATGGTCATTACTTGTCTTCCTCTTTTAGCTAATTGCTTCATTATGTACTTTTTCAATTGTTTTGTTCTGCAGGGATTAATTTTGCATGTATCTTCATGAGCTGTGAAACTGTTAGAGTGTACTGTTAAACTATGCATGGTGTGCTGCTGCTTGGAACTGCAGGAACCACTCTCCACCTGTGTTACTTGGAGGTAACACATGGCAAGGGTCACTTAGGGCCCCATCCAGTTCTCTGCCAAGTGTGTCCATCTCATTGCCAGGCACAGTCAAGAACCCACACATCAATCACTGCGTTGCCAAGTTGATGTTAGCAACAGGAAGTAAAAGAAATCACTTTTTCTCTTAAAAAGCACAAAAGGAGACTGAAAAACAGGATTGCCACTGGTTTAGTATTCATGGAGCAATGTACTGTGCTGGCCATCTTTTATGGCTTTACCTTTCTCTCCTTACCACAGCTACACTTAGCCTGATCAGTCTTGTTCATCTTGCACTGTGCCTAAAGCCTGATCATAGAATACAACATGCTGGGGTGGGAGGGACCCACAAGGATCATCAAAGTTCAATCACTGGCCCTGCACAGGACACCACAAGAGTCACACCACGTGTCTGAGAGCATGGCCCAAACACTTCCTCAACTCTGTCAGACTCGCTGTGGTGGCCACTTCCCTGGGGAGCCTGTTCCAGTGCCAGCCACCTCTGTTGTCACGGTTATATTTTATGAAAAATCCCTTCACCAGGATTTTCTCCTGAGAAGCTGAGAAGCCTCAGAAAAGAAATGCAAACAATAATTATCTGATTGCTTGGAATGGGGTCTGGAGGTTGCTTACCAACAAGTGCATCTTTGATTGCTGCCATGTGAATTGTTTTTAATTAATGACCAATCACAGCCAGCTGTGTCAAGACTCTAGTCAGTCATGGGTTTTTATTATTCATTCTTTGCTAGCCTTCTAATGTCTTTCTCTTTCTTTAGTATAGTTTTAATATATCATTTTCATATCATATAACATACCATCATAATATAATAAATCAACCTTCTAAAATATATAGAGTCAGATGAATGTCTCACCTCATCCTGGAAACCCTCACACCTGATGTCCCCAGACAGGGCAGGCCCTCCTGGCTGTGCCTCAGGACAGGCCTGGCCCTCCTGGCTGTGCCTCAGGACAGGCCTGGCCCTCCTGGCTGTGCCTCAGGACAGGCCTGGCCCTCCTGGCTGGGCCTCAGGACAGGCCTGGCCCTCCTGGCTGTGCCTCAGGACAGGCCTGGCTCTCCTGGCTGGGCCTCAGGACAGGCCTGGCTCTCCTGGCTGGGCCTCAGGACAGGCCTGGCCCTCCTGGCTGTGCCTCAGGACAGGCCTGGCCCTCCTGGCTGGGCCTCAGGACAGGCCTGGCCCTCCTGGCTGCAGGGCACTGCTGACCCACATTCAGTTTGCCATTGGCAGGAGCCCCAGGTCCCTTTCCACAGCACAGTAGCCCAAATTCTATCAGTACTATTAAAGACTGAGGCAAGAGCTCCTGAAGAATTCCCTGTTCAGCCAGGCTGGTCTTTTGCCTCACTGCCTTGCCTTACAACATAAGGTGCTGTCACACACATAAAGGTGTCTGGCCTTCACACCTGTGACCTGAACATGCTGCATCCATCCTGGTGAACCCATCTCAGTCATCTACTCACTTCTGCACTACCACAACAACCCCTTGCTCTCCCTCACTGGTCTTCCTCTAATCTTTGTTAGATTACTAAATCAGTCTTGCAATATTAAAATATCTCAATGAAATTAAATTCTAGAGGAAAGCCACAAATATGGAATCTTCCCAGCTTAGGCCATGAAGACTTGGAATATAAGAAGGTACAATGGCAATTA